GCAGCAGCATAAAATTAAGTAAAAATATCCTCTTCAACAAATGGTGTTGGGAGAGCTGGACAGCTACATGCAAAAAATGAAACTTGAGCAACAACTTACACCATACACAAAAATAAATTCAAGGTGGATAAAACATTTAAATATAAGTCATGGTGCCATTGAAGTCCTAGAGGAGAACATAGGCAGGAAAATCTCAGATATTCCACATAGCGATATTTTCACTGATATGTTCCCTAAAGCCAGGGACATAAAGAAAGAATAAACAAATGTGATCTCATCAAAATAAAAAGCTTCTGCTTGGCTAAAGAAAGCAGCATTAAAATGAAAAGAGAACCAACTGTATGGGAAAACATATTTGCCAATGATAGCTCAGACAAGGGTTTAATCTCCAAAATATATAAAGAACTCACACGACTCCACTCTAAGAAGACAAGCAACCCAATTAAAAAGTGGGCAAAGGACTTGAACAGACACTTCTCCAAGGAGGACATACATAGGATCAAAAGACATATGAAAAGATGCTCAATATTGCTAGCTATCAGAGAGATGCAAATTCAAACCACAATGAGATACCACTTCACACTGGTCAGAATGGCCATCATAAACAAAGCAACAAACAACAAGTGTTGGAGAGGTTGTGGAGAAAAGGGAACCCTAGTGCACTGTTGGCGGGATTGCAGACTTGTACAACCACTATGAAAAGCAATAGGGAATTTCCTCAGAAAATGAAAAATGGAACTGCCTTTTGACCCAGCAATTCCACTACTAGGATTATATCCTAAGAACCCTGAAACACCAGTCCAAAAGAACCTACACACCCCAATGTTCATAGCAGCCTTATTTACAATAGCCGAGTACTTGAAGCAACCTACCTGCCCATCAGTAAATGAATGGATCAAAAAATTATGGGACATTTACACAATGGAATTCTATGCAGCAGAAAGAAAGAAGGAGTTCCTACCTTTTGCAACAGCATGGATGGAACTGGAGAGCATTATGCTAGGTGAAATAAGCCAGGCAGTGAGGGAGGACAAATACCATCTGATCTCCCCTTTAACTGGAACCTAATCAACAATGAACAAGCAAGCAAAATATAACCAAAGACACTGAAATTAAAAACAAGCCAACAGTGACCAGAGGGGAGAAAAAAGGGGATTACAGGGGAAAAGGGTGAAGGGTTTGCAGGAACAAGTATAAAGGATACATGGACAATAACCAGGGGGTGGGTAGAAACAGAGAAGGAAGGTGGGAAGGGCTGGGGTGGTGGGAAAAGGCAGAAAACTGTACTTGAACAACAGTAAAAAAATATGTTAAAAATGATGCTGTTTTAATAAGTATCTCCTCATTTCTTATGTTGCAGAAATAAATATATACTACTGCTTCTCCTGCCCTACAAGGAAGTTTTTTTCTTCTTCTAGTTTTTCATTAGTTTCTAAGATCCCTGTAATAAACAGGTGTAAGTTTTGCAAGAATTTTGAGGATCTAGCCAAGCAAGATGACAGCCACAGCTCCATAAAGCTCCAATAAAACATCAAGAAGAAAGTAGTAAAGTACCACTGGAGACAGTACTGAATCCTTTATTCTCTGAGGTGAAAGACAAGTGATCCTGGCAGCCAAAATGCACGTAAGTAATTATGTTTGAGAACTGTCCTAAAATGTATATTCTCCAAAAAAAATCTATAAATAATTTCAAAAAAATTTTTAATCTCAAATTTCTTATTAATACTTTGATAAGAAAGAATCATATACCAACATATAATACTTTTTGCTCAATTTTAAATTCAACATTCTAAAGTAACTCATAAGCCATTTTTCTTTTTTCTCAGAAGAAATACTTTAAGCATGATAGAGCAATACATACACACACATATATAATTAAGGTTAACTTGGAAAATTAAGAGAGATAGCAAAGTAAATTGATCATTTTTAAAATATTTTCAGTTATGATAGTCTACTTGAGCAACAACTGCAAAAGAACACTGGTAGATTGATTCAACTATTAAGATGAATAATGGTGATAATTCCAAACAGTCATAAATAATACAACTTAATGAAAACAGATGAGAGTACAGCTGCTATAACAAAAATACCATAGACTGGGTGACTTATGAACCACATAAATTTATTCTCACAGTCCTGAAGGCTGGGATGTTTGAGATTAAGGGACCTGCGGAGCTGGTGTCTGGTAAACGAGATATGGGTAAAACTCAAGGTCTAGTTCACCCTGAGGCAAACTGCTCTCCGGCTGTGAACCTATGAGATCAAATATGTTATGTGCTTCCAAACTACAGTGGTGGTCAGGCACAGGACTGACATTCGCCATTCAATGAGAGAAAGATGGAAGAAGAAAGGGAAGACAGGTTCTGAGAAAATCTAAAACCCAATGGAGCAAATTCCATTAGACCTTAAGGTTCGAGAATAATCCTCCTTGGCTTGATGCTCTGCCATCCAGGCCCACAGGGGCAGTGGTCCCATCCCAGCTCTGCTGGTCAGAGTTGGGGCCCACAGGCTCCAGGCTGCCCTGCCCCATATCTTTGGGCAGCCCTATCCCCCCACCACCCATGGCTCTCTAGGATTGAGGTACTGGGATCAGCACAGAGCTGTGCTGGGAGGCCTTGGTTTTTGAAATCTAGGTGGAGGCTGCCATGCTCCCAAGGCTCTGCTGGGTATAGCCCACTACTCCTCCAGCCTCTGAGCAGCACCTGGATAGCAGAATGGTTCAGTGCCAGACTGCAGGGAGGGGAGACCCCCCAAGTGGGGTGGCGCAGAGCTTAGCCAGATCCAGAAGACGCCAGGAGCCCCTCCTTTGCACTCTTCCATTGTCTTGAACAATGGCTCCTGGCTTCTGTCAAGATGGCTGACTAATCTCCTTATCCAATGGTCTCTTGGCAACACCCTCATCTTTCCAGAACAGGCTTTCTCATTCTTTTCAATATGAAGAAGCTGAGAATTTTCCAAATCATTAAGCTCTGTGTTCTGCTTACCTTCCAATTAACAATTCCATCTTGAAGTCATTTCTCTCTTCTTGCATTTTACTACAAGCAGTCAAGAGAAACCAGGCCACTGCTTTAACACTTTGCTTAGACTGGCTTCAGCCCAATCTCTAATTTCATCACTTGCAACTTCTAGCTCCCATACAACCCTAGAACATGAACATGGTTCAGGCAAACTCTTTGCCACTTCATGACAAGCATGGCCAGTACACGCAGCAATATTTTCCAGTTTCCAATAACACATTGCTCCTCTCCATCTCAGACCTCATCAGAATGACACCTACCACTTATATCTCTACCCCCATTCTGTCACTCCAGTCTTCTCTAAGAAGACTGAGGCTTTCTCTACAGTGCTTTTCTGTTTCTCAGCTCACATAAGAATTGCCTTTAAAAGAACATTCACGGCCGTGTAAGCTTTTTTCCAACATGCAACCTCAAAACTTTACCAGCCTTTGTCATTACCCAGTTTTTTAAAAAGTGTCAAAGACTGGGTGCTTTATAAACAGCACAATGTATTCCTCACAGTTCTTGAGGCTGAAAGTCAGAGACCAGGGTGCCAGCGTGGTGCCTTCTGGGCTGCTGACTTCTCATGGTGTCCTCTCAGGGCAGAAGAGCAAGTCTGCTCAGGATTCCAATAAGGGCACTAATTCCACTCACTCCGTGACATAATCTCTGCCCAAAGTCCCACGGGGTGGGGGTGAGGAGTGTGCATTTCCAACATGGCATTTAGACCTTGGTCAGGTTTTCCATTCATTCAGTCATTCAACAAGCATCTTGTTGAGCCTGCAATATCCCAGGAGCTGGACATAGGAAAGTCAACAAGACGGGCCAGACCCCACTTTCAAGGAGCTGACATCTGAGTGGGGCACACAATACAATACAACCCAGGTTTACATCTGGACTCGAAGAACAAATCCAGAACATAATCTACAGGCCCAAAAGAAATTAGACGAATCAGACAGGGATATCAAGAACTTGTCCCAAGAAGGGCCAAGTTCTTGCCCAAGAAATGCACAGGCAAACCTGTGCACACATTCTCTTTTCCTCTGCTCCCTTCTCTCCTGGACTTCCCCTTGAAAACCTTTTCTCAGGGAAGACTCCAACCAGTGTAGTCACACTGAGATACACCCATTCTTCCTCTGAGAAGGGTCTGCATTTTGTTCCATGTAGACATGAGGCATTCCTTGATGTCACAAAGGGACTTTGGGGACCTTCTCAGAGTCATGTCATGCATCCACTTCTAAGGAAGCATGCATCACACACCTGCTCTGCTGCAGGTCAGCACTAGGCTTGTCTAGGCAACAGTGAATAGTTCTACTATGAAACACACAGAGCCTGAAGGGAAGTGGACTCAAAACTGCCCGTTTGTCCCTCCAGCTGTTCTGTCCACCCATTTTCACCCAGCTCTGTGACCCAGGAGGCTGGCCTTCGGGGACTGCCTCAGTGGCTTTTGTCTTCTGTCTTTGGTTGGGTTCAGCTAAAGGGAGTCCATGCAGAAGACGGAGGGAGGAGGAAAGAGAGGGCCGGGTCCTTACTTCCCTGCTTCCTCCCTGCCTGGCCTCGGGTCGGCAGAGGCTGTGCCCTCTATCAAAGATCATGGCTCCCTGTGAAGGGAACTCTTCTACAGCTATAGCCACACCAACAGCCCTCTCTCTAATCACTTCTTGACCCTGAAGATGCCCCCAGAGGGTATAAGCTCCATGCTGGTGCTCCACTACCCTGGGTATGTGGTCTTCTCGCTGACCCCTCTTGACCTGCCCCATCCTAAGGGACATGGGCTGCACGGCCAGCACTGCCTCTGATCAGAGACTGACTCTGGGCACCAGCTTCATTTCAAGCTCCAAGGACTTAGGAGGGTTCAGGGGACAGGTGAACATTCTATAAATGATGCTTCCTCTCAGAATTAGCAGCTACTCACCTCCAAATAGAACAAAACTCAGGGCAGCAACTAGAGTGAGCCCAGTGCCCTGTGCAGAGTAGGGAAGCCCAAGAATGGCCACAGCTTACCTTTCTGTGCTCAGTGGATGGATGTGGGCAGCCGAGCTGGAATCCAAGCAGCAGCAGGGAACCCAGGACACTGAGAAGGAAAAACAGCAAAAGGCAAGACTGTGAGTATGTTCCAGGCAGCAGAAGGCAGCCTGTCTGTCTCGTCATTGAAAGGGAGATGCCAGTCCAATCTGGGGCCTGGGGATGTGACCCAGTGAAGAGGCAAAGGGAGGCCCATGGAGGGGAGGCAGCAGAGCCAGGGGCAGGGCCATAGCAGGGCAAAGATCTGGAATCAAACCCAGTGATACCATTTCCCAGAGGGGTTCCAGGTCAGAGCAGTTAACTTCTTTGGAACTTGTCTCCTTCCTTGTAAAAGAGGAAAGCAACAAAAGCTGGCCCTGAGGTTTGGGGAGGACTGAATGAGATCACGTGCCATGTCTGGCACGAAGTCAGTGCCAAGGCGTGCTTGGCCCTCGGGGAGCTGGTAAGGTCAGGGCTGGGAGCCTGGCCGGGGAAGCTCCTCTCCCACCCCCAGGCTTTCCTGGGTACTTCCTCTGCCAGGGCTGGGCCCATCGGTGCTACATATGTTCTCCTCGGGCGGGATTAGCTGTGTTAAGCCCCACTGTCACCAGCCCTGATTAGGGCTTGTCATCAAATAAAGGGAAGGTGTAGTCATCAGAGCCAGCTGGCCCTGAGACAGCAGGGTGTGCTGGGAGAGCGTGAAGCTTTGGATTCCAACACATTTAGGCTAGAATCCCAACTCCACCCTTCCCATCAGGGGGATCCTGGGAAGGCTGAAGTCTCCGCGCCTCAATGTACTCATGTTCTGTAAGGATCATTGGCGATGACGCAGGTGAAAACAGCGGCACAGTCAGTCACAGGAGACAAGTATTGTCAAGTAAGTTGCCCCAAATTCCCTGATTTCAAATCATCAATGGCACTATTCTAAGTACCCCTGCAAAAGGCCTCTGGCCCTACTTAGGAGCCCTGAATCCTTCCTAGGGTTTAACCCTGAGGGCAGAAGTGAAGCAGCCAATGGTTCTCAACCTTGTTGGAGTCTCCAACATAACTGAGCAATTAAAAAAATGCTACCTGGCCAAGGAAAACTCTCTGTGTGGAGGCGGACATGAGGAGGAAAACCCGTCTGAACCTGGCGTTAGAGTTTATGGAGGTAGAAAGGACTCCCAGGATGTCCAACAATCTAAACTCCATGCTAACCCTCATCTGTATGTAAATGAGCCCTGCCCTAACAGACCACACAGAGCGGACAGGGGCCGACTGCTTAGATACTGCTGGGAGCAGATACTGCTCTATCTCTTCAGCAGGGTGAAGGCACAGGTAACCAGGTGTTGTTCAACGCATCTTTTCTGCTTTTTCTTCGAGCTGCAGCTGAGGCCCCAGTGCAGACCATTCCAAAGAGAAAGGCTGGTGACTTCCGCCAAGATGGAGGCATAGGTGGAGACGCCGTGCTTTCTCACACAACCAAGTTTAGAGACAACTAAATATTAACAACAGAAAACACAGCCAGAACACAGAAAATTGAACTTTTCGGAGGTCTGATGACAACAAATTCTTCAGTCTGACCGGTAAAAGGGGCAAAACCAGCAGCTGGCAGAGAGGGGCTGCACAGGAAAACTTGGTCAGAAGGACTCAGGCGCGCGAAATCCAGGCACAGGGTTGGACCTGGTGGGCAACTCAGCGAGCGACCACGGGGAAACAGCGAGGGAGCAGGGCTGCGGGTTGACTGTGGTTGCGCATTCGTGCGTGGATAGACAAGCGAGGGAGTGGCCGATTGGATGGGAGCCAGCAGGCCCCGGTGGCGAGCGACAGCGGAGGGCACTGCCATTTCCCCACTCGGACCCCACTTCCACATACAGTGTCATAACCCAGCGACTCTGAGTGGCCCGGCCCAGGTGAACCACCTAAGGCGCTGCTCCTCACCCAGCAGCACGAAACAGCAGAGGGGGCCGCCATTTCCCTGCTCTGACCCCGCCTCCACATACAGCGTCACAACCCAGCAACCTGGGAGTCCAAGGCTCCGCTCCTCGTACTTAACGGGCGTGAACACCCAAAAATGGCTCAAGAAGATCTCAAAGCCCCAGAGCTTATAAATCTAAGTGATGAATAAAGAGCAAAACTCTCAGACGCACAGTTTAAAACACTGGTAATCAGGATCCTCACAGAACTGGTTGATTATAGCCACAAATTAGAGAAACATATGAAGGCGAAACTAATTGAAATGAATGGAATTGCACAGGAAACCAATAGTGATGAAAAGGAAACTGGGACTCAAATCAATGGAGTAGACCAGAAGAAAGCAAATAATGGCCAAACAGAAAAGAGTGAAGAAGCAAGAATTCAAAAAAATGAGGAGAGTCTTAGGAACCTCCAGGACATCTTTAAATGCTCCAACATCTGAATTATACGGGTACCAGAAGGGGGAAAGGAACAGCCACCAATGGAAAACTTATTTGAACAAATAATAAAGAAGAACTACCCCAATCTGGCAAAGGAAATAGACTTCCAGGAAATCCAGGAAGCTCAGAGAGTCCCAAAGAAGCTGGACCCAAGAAGGAACACACCAAGGCACATCATCATTACACTAGCCAAGATTAAAATGAAAGAGAGAATCCTAGAAGCAGCAAGACATAAGGGGACAGTCACCTACAAAGGAGTCTCCATCAGACTGTCAGCGGATTTCTCAAAAGAGACCTTCCAGGCAAGAAGGGGCTGGAAAGTGGTATTCCAAGTCATGAAATCCAAAGACCTACATCCAAGATTGCTCTATCCAGCAAAGCTTTCATTTAGAATGGAAGGACAGATAAAGTGCTTCTCAGATAAGATCAAATTCAAGGAGTTCATCATCACCAAGCCCTTATTATATGAAATGTTAAAGGGACTTATCTAAGAAAAAGAAGTTAAAAAAACATGAATAGTGAAAGGATAGCAAACTCACAGTTATTAACAACCACACCTAAAACAAAAGCAAACTAAGAGGACAGCTAGATCAGGAGTGAACCATAGAAATGAAGATCACGTGGAGGGTTAGCAACAGGGGAGTGGGAGGAGGAGAAGGGGGGAGAAGGTACAGAAAATAAGTAGCATAGACGGTAGGTAGAAAATAGATAGGGGGAGGGCAAGAATAGTATGGGAGATATAGAATCTAAAGAAATTGAGACACATGGTCATAAACTAAAGGGGGGTAATGGTGAGGACGGGGAGGTAGGGTGGAGGGGAATGAAGGGGGGAATAGAACAACTGTAATGGCATAATCAATAAAAAAAATAAATAAAACAAAAAAAAAACAAACAGAGAGAAGGGCTGCACGCCTACGTGGACTGAAAACGGAGGTGCCCTCAGCAACGGGGCAGCAGCACCGGAAAGCGCGGGTGTGACCATGGTTCGACCACGGCGCTGGAAAGCACAGCTTTTTCTGGTTCTGTCCTTACTGAGACCAGTAACATGTGCATCCGGGCTCACAAGTCTATGTTCCTCAGTTATGTGACCTTGCATAAATCACCTCCGTGCTGCAGTTTCCTCATCTGTAAAATGGAAATATCATCTGCCCTGCTGACCTCAAATGAGTGAATGTGCGAGAGAGCACATTATGAACCACGCCTACATATCTGAATCACTTGTAACACATCCTGGCACTGTTTACTCATTAAAAAAAAAAAACCAGCTTGGTGTGGTTTTGTTAAAAAAACAAGTGGCAGCTCCATAAATGTGTTAGACCTCAGCCCTCCAAGTCCTTGGCAGACACCTAAGCCACACATCTGTAATGCAACAAGGAGCGATTCTGCATAACTTCTCATCCCAGGCTGTACCTCCAAACTTGCAGGGGAACTTGGGGTAGGGGAGGGAGTGAATTGGAGAGGGGAAGACTCTTAAGTTTTTCTCTGTCTCAGAGGAACTGCTTTCCAGGTTGCCCGGTCACCTCTACTCCCAGAAATTCCTACAGCTTGTTGCCTCACCTCCTTCAGGTGTCTGCCCAGTACTGTCCCTTCTCCCTGAGACTTTGCGACCCTGTAAAAAGCAGCACTCCCTGTCCCAGACCAGACTGTATTTTTCTCCAAAGCACTTACTATCTCATGGACTCTGTCTTTATTCATGTAAAGTGTGCCCTCCACCCACTAGAATATAAGCTCCCCGAGACCAGAGAGTTTGTTTTATCTCTACTGTATCCCCCAGCATCTAACAGTGTGTCTATTATACAGTAAGAACTCAATGCACTGAATTAATAATGAATGATGCAACATCATCTTGACAACCTTTAAAAAGTCAAGATAAATGGAAACAGTGTGAATTGCTACATTCAAAACTGTCCAGAGTAACTTGGGAAGCTTTTAAAAATTCTCCCATGAAAGATTTATAAAAATCAGTAGCGTTTTTGCATTTCTCTGTGATGCCCCCAAAATTGTTCTCATAGGACTGACACAAAATACAGCAGCAAAAGGCTTGTCGATGCCTGTGTTGCAAAAACACAACACGAGTTGTACTTAGATGTTCAGGTGCTTCTTTTCTTTGTCTAGCTGGGCCCCAGTGAGGCCGCGATGCATAGGGGTAACCCGTAACATTCATTCCGGAGCAAAATCTGTTATTAAATGGGCTCTGCTCTGAATGGGATAGAATGAATTCCCCCAGAGGGGAAATTATTCTTTGGCTGCAATAACAGCAGCTAGAGCAATATATAACCCCAGGGGCCAGCGGAAACTCTGCCAAGGGCTAGAAGTTTCCCACCCCTGCTCGGCAGACTCTGTTTTGGGATACCCCACCCTGCTCACACATGCCTATCTAATTGGTAGGCTGTAGCTGTACCCACACCTCTTCAAAACACCGACAACCTAGCCCAAATCCTTGTTCCTTCTGACCCAATCCGAAATTAATGTTCAGGGACTGCGAGAGCATGTGTGTGTCTGTGTGTGCTGCTCGTGTGCTATTTCACTTTGATAGTTTGCTTTGGCAAAGTGCTCCCAGCTTGCGATGTTTTGACAGATTGAAGGCTACCAGGGCCTTTGGCAAACAAATCGCAGTCCCCTCCAAGCGGCGGGGGAAGCCACATTCCTACCACGACTTTCCGATTCACCTTGC